AGTTTCTTATTTAACTGATTCAGATGGAACGTTTTGTGGGTTTACATGTAATCTATGTATGGCTTAATTTTCTGACTCATCTACTGTCTTCGTTATTCTTAAATGACTTTTCATAGTTTTTATCAATTGCCTTTTGTGCAAAATCGTGTCACTCTAGTTTTTGGCATAGCAAGTTTTACATCGTATATATCTGGCTATCTGCAATGCGTTCAGACCATCAGGGTCATTGCGTTTGCAATTTAGCCAACAGACAGTCAACTTTTTCACTTCATGTTAGGTTTAGACTGAACTACTTTGTGTGTTATTGGTTATTGCTGTCGTGACATCAGAACCATGCTATTTTAAACAGGAGCTGCTATGATATTTACCCTTTTGGCCTTTTCCATATCGAATAGTCCCATTGTGAAACAATGATTGATGGTGGCCATGTTTGTTTTACCTGAAGTGTGTTGAGGAAATAGGTGTATGCTTATGGAAACATGACTCTGCATCCCTTGTAATGTGGATTGCTTTGTTTTTTGAAAGTTTTGTCATACTTATCTTTCAGACCCTGCAGAGGCTATTGTTCTCTCGAAAAGTCTCGATGGGTTGCAAACTTGGAACTTTTGAGGGTAGAGTTTTAGGAAACATCCAATGTTTCTATTGTTGATGAACTAGGAAAAATAAATCCATATGTGACTAGACTTTGCGCTTTCTAATGTTGTAAATTTTAGGATGGTTCTTTTCAAAAGGGTCGTTGCCTTGGTATTATGTGCATACTGTTGTATCAAATGCTCTGGGTCAATTGCTTTCTGTGCATATATCCACACGGCTCTATTTTCTGGTTGGGCTGGCTACCTAGCTCAATGTCTTCATATGAATTGGCAAATTAGTGGCTTTTGATCCCTCTGATCTGTGCTTGTGATGATTATGTTTGCCTTGTATTCATTATTCTCAGCCCTCCCTGTGCTTTTGCAACAGGATTTTCATGACAGCAGATTGGGGAGGCCATTTGTGAAACCTTATGAACAAGAAAGTTATGGCAAGGAGGATGTGCTTTCTGCTGTTGAGAAATGCATGAAAAAGTACGCTGATAATTTGCTACGATCTCTCGAGGGAATCACTAGTCGTCTTTCACAACTGGAGATTTATTGCTATAAGCTCGAGAGATCCATAGGTGAACTTCGAAGCGATGTACTTCGTGATGAGACTGACCATAGATTGAAGTCTCTTGAGAAACATCTACATGAAGTAAGTAAAGTGCTATTTTGAGCAAGATGCTTCAGAGTAGATGATGCTTCCACATTACTCCCACGCTATCTGTCTCTGCATTCTTATGAATGAATGAATCTAGTATCAATACTATGATCATGTTATATGCTCATCGATGTCATTATCGTACTATGATAATTTCCCTAGATGAAACCATCTCACTAGAATTCTTGTTGCACCATGATCAGAGCATTCTGATACTTTTTATTCAGATATGTTATTTGTCATGTGTGTTGGATATTGTCATTCAGTAAATAGTAAGTTGAGTCCAAGTTGTAAAAGGTACTTTAATATAGAGAAGTGTTAGCTTAGTCATTCAAATGTATTCTTGTCGTTATGCTGTGTTTTTATATGTGGTACTTCTATGAAGAGTTTTCAGCTCATTTTGATTTTGTTTATTATAGTTACAACCATGGTGTGTAATTTAAACAAATTACACATCATGGTTTTGTTTATTATAATTATAGCCACATAAAACAATGTCGTGGTACCATGGCATACATTAATTTAGAGGGCACTTTCACAAATGATGTAGGTCATGTTGATTGGTCTTCATAGAAATGACATTGCAGGGAAGAGTCATTATGATGGGAGAACAACCCATAGGGGCTTGTCACCTGTGCATCCCAAAAATCCATAATTGTGTCATAAAATTTCAGTATACCTGTATCTCAGCATGAAGCTTCTACACCTGTGTATTTTTTTTCTCCTGGAGAACATCTTAAGGACAATTCATGTGGACTACAGACAGAACGTACATGGAAGTCCTATGGTCTAATTTCCCCTCAGGCAATCCAGCCTCATTCACCCTGTTCGCTGATGCTGAAATTTAGCTTATGCTGAAATGTTGTGAGAGGAAAACACTGTTCCATGTCTGTTGACTGTTGTACACTTATGTCTCATGTAGACCCCTTCCTAAACCATGGTTGACGACATTCCTTTGTATATGAATTGGTAGGTGTAGGCTGGAACACTGGAGCATACAAGTTAGGTAGATATAGGCTGGACGGCTGGAGCATACAAGTTGCTACTGGTTCTGTCCTAACATGTACCATGTTCTATTTAGAAATTATCTAACAAAACCTGACCATATCCAAATTTGGAGATTGTTTCCTTTTCGTTTGGTTGATCATCTAATTTTTATTGTTCAATTTCCACATCTATGTTTTATTTTTGTTTATGTATTTAACAGATCTTTTAGTATTAGGTTGACATGTTCTCTATTTATAAAGTTACTCTACTTTGAAAATGATGCAGGTACACAGGTCTATCCAAATTCTTAGGGACAAACAGGAGTTAGCTGAAGCTCAGAAGGAATTGGCCAAATTTCAACTTACACAAGATACATCTAAAAAGAAGGAAGATGTACCAACACCATCTATTCCTGAGCAAAAGAAGCTTGAAGAAAACCCTGATACATCAAACCAACCATTGGCTCTTGTTTTACCTCATCAGGTGATGCCATCACTTGCACCTAGAGCCTCTGAATCAGTCCAACAGTACAAGGATCAACCTGTGCAACAATCAGCCCCTACCCCTCCTGTGCCACAGCAGGACCGCTATGTTCTTAGCCAAGCCATCGTCTGCTACCCACAGCGCCAAGCTCCAGGTATCCAGGACACACAGGGGCAACAATTGCAACCAGAAGTGCAATACTTACCAGCAAGACCCCCAGCACAAGATGTTCCGGTCCATGCTCCATCCCAACCACCTCAAGCCGGAAATCAAACACAGCGACAGCCTTACCCTACTTACCAGCAGCAGTGGCACCAGCAATCCTCCCAGCCAACTCCTGCACCGGTGGCCCAGACACAACAGACTTTCTCACAGCCATTTCCTCCACCTGCACAGCAGCCCCAGTTATCCAATGTGCAGCAGTTTCCACCGCAACCAGTACAGCAGCCCCAATCCAATGCTCAACAGTATCCTCCTCCACCAGTGCAACCACAGCAATCTAGCCCACAGCTTCATCCTCAGGCAATGCAACCACAACATCCTCCTGTGCAAACTCAGATGAGACCTCAAACCCCACCAAACTACCCTCATTATCAACCCCACCAGCCATTGAACCCCACCCCTGAAACTCTTCCTGGCAATGTGGCTATGCAGGGACCATACAGCACTGCTGCTCCATCAGGTGCCAGCCGTTCTGAACCGCCATATTCGTATGGAGGGCCTGGCATCCCACCGTCTCAGCCACTGCCGCAGCACAACATGCAAAGGCACCAGCTACCTTCAAGTCAGGGCTCCTTTGGGCCACCTCCAAGCAAAGGGTCCTATCCTGGCCCTCCACAGTATGCGCCACAGGGCAATCCGCAAGGCTACAACACTGGTTACGCGCACCCACCAAGCGGCCCTCCAGCAGTCCAGCCGCAGCAGATGCCCCCAGGTGGAGTCGGCATGAACCATCCGGGTCGCATATGATGCGTGGCCATCCCTACGGAGAAATGATGGAGAAGGCGATCACCATGGGATACCCTAGGGACCAGGTGCTGAACGTCACCCAAAGGATGGCAGAGAGTGGCCAGCCAATGGATTTCAACACCCTGCTCGACAGGCTGAACGAAGCAGGGTCGGGAGCACCACCCCCACGCGCGTGGTGATTGGATCCAGTTTGGGCGCCGTGCTTGGTGTCAGTTATGTGACTTACGACTGTTATCATGCAGCTAAATAAATAAGATTTGAGCTGATGCCGTGTACTGCTTATCTGTACTATGTACATATATAATTGTGATTTTTTTTCATGTAACTGGTGCAGCACGTGTACTACGAACGTATCGCGCCAATTGGGTTCAGATATGTATATATTCGAAGCCAATTACCGCCGGGCATCCTGACATTTTTTGTAGCGTGCCTGTGTAAAAAAAAAAAAAAAAACTGTTGCCCGTCATCCGTCAACTTTAGCTCACCTGCCGCTAATTTTCTTTCCATCGCAGTTTTGTAAGGCCCTCTTTTGGATCCCTGGATCCAACTGCACTCCATTCCAAATTGCGAGAGGTAGATCCAACTATACTTCATTTCAAATGTTTTGACTTTTCTGGATGTATAGCTTTTGCTACGCACTTAGATAATATTGTATCTGGATACAGGATTAAAGCAATGTATCTAGAAAAAACAAAATGTTTTATAATTTAGAACAGAGGAAGTTGATTATAGTAATTAAGGTAGTTATAATTATAATAATTAGGAGTGTTTGATTATTGTTGGTTAAAGTAACAATACTATTAATACCGTGTGCATAGATTATTTTCTTCGGAGTAACTTTGTCAGGACGTTGAACTTATGATGATCAATATATAATACTGTTTTCGTTAAAGAATATTTTTCAACAATATTATCTTTGTAGAGAGCACTTTTAGTTAATGTTGTCTTTGCTAGAGGATAATTTTTAATTGTAACAGTTAGTTCTTAGACACTATAGCTATTGAAATAATACCCCTTCCAAACTACTAGTATAGTGCCCGTGCTAACGCCACGGCTTCATTTCAGAGATACACATGAAAACAACCAAACGATGATATTTTTTCCGTGCTAACGCTACGGCGACCTTCGGTAGTATAAATCAAACATTTAAAAGATAATATATGCGGTAACAAAGCATAGATGTGGTATATTTAAGATTCACTAAAAAACAACGTACATAGAGTTAGATATATTAGCACTAATTTCATTTGAAATACATTGATAATTTCCCAGGACACACTCAAAGGATTAGAACTATAATAAGTATATTTTCTACCAATCGTCACCTAAATAAGTGTCTTGGTGGCAGACTGGCAGTGATCGCCATGGCAAATGTTCAGCAAGGTCTGTGCGAAGCAACTTTCTACCAAAATCTTCTCTGCATCTAGCAAGCATGAGATGGTCCAGACAATTGCGGAGCGGGCTTTGTCGATGTTTTCCATCATGATGCTTTTCACTTGTTCGACCTGAGCCTTCACTTTGGACAGCTTACTCACCTCCTCTGGGTGATCAGTACAGTACTGCATCTGGTCTCTAAGCCTCAACCTGTATTGCCAGTCCCCAAGCATGCCCACAGTGAGGAATAAAAAAAAGGGTAGTGCACAGTATTGGAAATGCATCTGAAAGTCTGAAAAAAAATTCTTGTTCTTGAAGACAAAGAATGAGAACTGTTACCCGAAATCTCGGGTGAGACTGTTGGCTGTAGCTGTTGCTGCTTTGCCCCCTGCATATCTCTTGTTAAAGTCCTCCTTGATCATCCCCAGGAAGACCATAGGAATCTGCCGCCCAGCTGACTCGATTGCGATGACACAGTATGCTGCAATTTGATTTCAGTTATTAACCCAGGTGGAGTTGAGCAAACATAAATAATGTTTCTGTGCATCTTCTTATGTTATCACAAAAGAGACCATATTATGAGAAACAAGAAAGAATATCAACTGACAACAGTTAAACCAATAATACATGAGGAGTATTTGTATAACAATCTTTTTATCTTATACACATGCCATATTTGTATAACAAAACTTGTATAATCAGTCATCCTAATGATGTAACGGCATGTAGATATAATGTTAGAATCAGACATCCTGTAGTAGATCATTCAGACCACCTAATGGTGATATAAGTATTTCCAGTTCCCTGTTTTCTTAACCAAAATAACAATATAATCATTTATTGAAGCAACCAATATAACAGCAACAAAGGGAAGATTGTGAACAGTAGGCTGTAGTTCTGAATAAAAGCAATGTGTTTTGTACTTCTGAAGAAATCGACAACTTAATTTCTATTGAAGTTCGAAATCATATACTAACTGTGCACCTTCTATAACCCCGAAACAGTTCATGATAATCGGTAGCATGTCACTTGTAGTCAGAAAATCATGAGATGCAACAAGTTACGGCCCTGTTCGCTTGAACTACTTTTCAGCCATGGAATAATGTTTTTCTCTCACAACATTTCAGCATAAGCCAAATTTCAGCATAAGCGAACAGGGTCTACATCAATTTGCTATGAAACCATCACTTCTCATTGGATAGTACCTGGCACACTAATTTGCAAAGTGGCAATCTGTAGTCTCAAATATCAGCAGGGCTTAGTAGGAGCTAGAGTGGTGCAATCCTAAGCTGGAGAGAGTAAAAGCCATGTCTAATGCTGAAACGACCATGTATCTAAACCAGTCCTATCACAAGTAAATTTGCACCAGCATTCACGATGAATGATCTCATGCAAATAAACCGGCTGTCGATCTTCCGCAGGGCTAGACTAAACTAAGCTAGTGCGTCACCCTTGTAGTCATGATTTCCCAGAACTGAAAACACATGCGTGCATAATGAAGCCTCAGTGAACATATAATACAAGATTATTTTCCGTCGTCGCATCGATACAAGAGGAATAGAACTGGTAATAGAAGAGCGCGAGTTTCAGGTTCAGTTACCTAGGTACCACGGCTTCTGTAAGCTGTTCGCCCTGTAGATGTCCATGTCGTAGAAATTGACCCCGGTGGATACCACGAAGTCGATGTCGAGCTTCTCCCCGACCCTTCCCATCTGCAGGAAATTCGCTGATTACTACTACTGCTCTTACCAGTTATTACAGTCCCCAGAGGTAAATTTTCACGTCAGATTGGTCTGTTGAGTAAAATCTTCTGTCCTGTCCCTGTGATTCGTAGATCGTAGATCCACAACTGCCGGGAGTTTTTTCTTTTGGTCCATTTCCACATATGCGCAGCAACAAACAGGATAAAAAAATCACGAGCACGCGCCACTGGGAGAAGGGCGTCGAGGCCTCGACGCATAAATAAACAAATCTGATGGAACAACTGTCAACTGGCGATCTATTGTACCATGCCAGACAGTTTCATTCCCACGCCTTTTCCGCCTAACAATAGGAAAACGGCCACCTGAGTTCCTGGATTCTGGGCTCCCTATCCCGCCTGATTTGCTGACCACATATTCTCTACTCCGACGAACAGGAACGGAACATACATGGGAGGAGGCCGGAGCCCGAGGGAGATGAACATGCTTGTTACCTGCTCGGCGACCCAGAACTAGTTGCACTCCCCCTTGCGGCCCCAGTCCCCGACGACGAGCAGGCTCAACGACCCGTCGTTCTTGGCTAGGTGCTCCAGTCGGAGCAGCGTGGCCGCGGCCAGGACGGCGAGGACCGTGGCAGCGCCGCCCTTCGCCATGGCCTTCGCGGCGCACCCGGAGCAAGAACGAACCGCACAGATGGGAGCCGAGCGCCCATCCTTGCGCGCCCCCGCGGGCTCCATCTACGGCGGGGCGGCCCTCCCTCTCCTGCTTCCCTGTGGAATCGGGATCTGGAGGCGGCGGCTAGGGTTTGGCTCGCAGCGCCGCGGGCACGACAGCGCACGGGCGACGCCGGCTGGGGTAGGGCTCGATTAGGGTTTACGGGTAGCGAGAAGGGCGGGGATCAGGAGGACGGGAATTTGGGTGGGGATTTCTGCGGGAGTGGCGTGCGCTCGGGGGAAGGAGAAGGAGAAGGAGAACGATGTTCTGACCCTTTGTTTTCTCGAAAAAAAAAGGAAAACAATGTGGGGGCTGGGAATCGAACCGGGGTCGCGGAGTTTTTGAACCGTTGCTGCGGGGCGCGAACGTGAGGGCTTGGGCGTGGGGGCGAGATGGCTGGCATCACACACCAAAGATCAGCCGGTAGATGAGTTTTTTTTGTCTTTTTTAGTCATTGATTTTAATAGCGATGAATTTCTATATATATATTTTTAGGTGTACAATAATAGGAGGCTCTTAACGGGGGATGTTTTTCTAAATAGATCTAGTATAATTTTGATTGGTCCATTATAGTAGAAATAAGATATTTTAACTTTTCTAGATACACTATTTTTGCTACGTATTTAGATAGACGCTATGTCTAGATACATAGTAAAAGAAATGTATCTAGAAAAGTTAAGACGTCTTATAATTTGGAACATAGGGAGTAGTTTCCTAAGGAGCTGATGGGAGTGAGAAATTAAAAATAATCATTACGCATCTGCTATTTTATCCAAACTCTCAATAGTTGTTTAACAAAATTCATAACCTTTGATACGAAGTTAGATGAAAACAAACTTTATACCGAAATTGTAAACATCAATAAGATCTCCAAGTTTGAGTGATAAGATTTTGATTTGAAACAATTTAGAGTATCAAAAGATCTTTTTAAGTTCTTGGAGTTTGATATGAAAAATATTAGATATTTAGAATGACCTCAAATAGTGACATGGTCTTTACAAACTTGTAATTATCAATGCAATCTATAACTTTGTAGTTGATATTTTTTTAATAAAGTCATTTAGAGTCCTAAATATTTACTTTAGTTTCTCATATTTCAAATTCAAAATTTATAATTTTTGAATGACTTTGGTATAGATCATGTCAACGTCTAAAGTCATTTGAAAATCCTAAACTTCAAATTTCAAAATATGAGAAAATATAACAATATTTAGAACTTTTGTCCATTCTACATCATATGAAAAAGTCATTTATGTTTTCTTGGACAACTATTAACGGTTAGGGAGGATAGCCAGGGACATAATGGTCACTTTTAACTCTTCTTTGCCCTCTACTATTAGAAACGGTTATTTTAATAGTTATGGTGTCTAAGACTTAGTTGCCACAAGCAAAACAATATCCTCTAGCAAATACAACATTGAATAGTGTAATTATCCCATCCGTGACCTATGGTTGTTCGAGGAGGCAACCGCCACAACCCTTTTAGGCTTCTCGCGGTAGCTGCCCAAGGCCAGTGGCAAATCTGGAAACATATACTAGGAGGGGCTTAGTTTTCTTACTTTCTAACATTTACTCCATCCTTCTAAGCTTTAATGACTACAAACTTGTAGCGGGTACTTAGGAGGGGTTCCCTTCATCCGGCGGCGATAGCGGGGTCTCGATGTGGCAAAACCGTATAATTTAATGCCTCACAGGAGTGCTTGTCTTTTATTAGATACTAAGCACTCAAGGGAGAACACTAAATTACTCGGTTCCGTCGGGCACACCCCGGGGAGAACCCGAAAATCCACATTTTTGCCATCAGGATCACAAATGAGAGACTAAAGCTTACATCATTCGGAACCATTTCTTACATCACTTTTAATACAACATCAGAGTATAATATTTATTATTATAATAGCGGAATGTAATCATATTATCAAAGTTATGAATCATTTAATTAAACAGCGGAATATAAACGTGTGAATAGAGTTACAGCAGAAATAAATATCTACACATGACATGAGGAAGTATTGAAATATAAACTACGACAACAGATTATAAAACTTTCATTTATAAAAGTATTTAGTGAGAGTTATAAATAAAGACTACGATCGCAGCGTAAAGGAATCCTCGCTGAGCCCACCAGGAGGTATCCACACACAAGAGTCAGCTCTAGCATCCACCTGTCACCTGCAACAGGGGAAATAAAACCCTGAGTACTCAATTGTACTTAGCAAGACTTACCCGAAACCCCGACATGGGTCCGGAAGAGAGAAAAGAAAAGACTCCAAGGATATGCAAGGCTATCTCGGAAACTTGTGGGTTTATTGCATTTGCGTAAAGCATTACTAAACGTGCCATCCTTATATTGGATTTTTATTAATAGCACTACATTGGTTCATTAACTAACCATTCTATGTAATGCACACATAATTTAAACTACTACTTTCAAGCAGGTATGGTAAGCAATCGATTTCCATCCATCATCATCATCTCATCTTTCATCTTTCGCCTCTCGATTTTACTACTTGCTACCTATACACGCTTGTCGAAATTTCCCAACAATTATTTTAGTTATATAAACCAAGGTGTTTCTTTATTTTATTCTATCAATTTAATCCTTATTCAAATAGAGCATCATTAGCAAACAAACTGCTGCATAATATTGCTAAGATCCTACCGGATTATCCGACGATTCGCGAATCAATGCCCCCATTATCACACTATGTACCCTACTAGATAGAACATGATTTTAGAAACACACATTTTTACCTACTTGTTTACCCAAATTAAGCGGCGAACGGCGGACCACATCGCAGAGAAAACCGAGCTAGGATGAGGAGCCGAGGAAACCTAACGCCTATTCGAAAGGGGTGGGTGAGTCCATTCCGTTTGCACCGCCAAATCTCCTCCTCCTATGCCTTATGCCCATACTCAGATTTGATATCTCCATTTCTCCGACCAGTCAGCTCATCAGCTGTAGAAAAAAGATCGAGCGGCAGGACCGAGGCCGCGGGTTCGCAACGAGAGGCGAAGCATCGCCTCCCCGCCAGGCGGCGGCGGTCGATTCTTCCGGTGAGAATCCTATCCCCATTTATCTGTTTATAAGGAAAAAAAAGCTCCTATTTTTACCGTTTCAGTAGATGTTAGCCCGAGGATACGGTCAAGTTCCGAGGTTTGTTTTGGGTGGGGGATAAAACAAAAAGAATCCGAGCGATCTCAGTGGCAATTCCGTGAATACGCTCCTATGTTGCCATCGCGCCACCTTTTTTTTAGGAAAACCACGCACCCATACCTATTCAGCCTGTCCGTCGTTTGTTTTCTAGGCTGATAAGTCCGACTAATGCTAATTTGTTACGAGAGACCGTTGATTAGCTAATAAACTCCAATCAAACCAAACAAAAAGCCAATTATCGATCACCTTGGCGGTTTTTAAATTTTAAAATCGGCGTTTCAACGTTAGCCTAAATCCCGCCATTCCCCGGTGTTGCGGACTCACGCCTCTCCACCGCGTCGACCCAGATTGCCCATCGAAGTAACGGGCCCACGCCACGATGCCGTGCATTTCAAAGTTGGTTCTGCAAGGAAAAAAAAGGCATATTTACTCGCCCGCGATCAAGAAAAAAGCATAAAAGGCTATTTCGAGACTAGCTCCTATACCAGTTGCTGATCTGGTCGGGGAGCGAGTCAAGAAAAAGCGTCGACGAGATCGACCGAGGCGGCGGAAGAGTCAGTCAACCGCCTCGAGAATCCTACCGTTTATTGTTATAAGGAAAAAAAAGCTCCTATTTTTACCGTAAATACGGTCAAGTTCCGATTTTCAAATTTTCCGAAATTCCGTGATTTTTCTCTCACATAAATCACCCAAGACCTATTACTTCGACCGTTGATTAGCTAATAAACCTGAACCGAAACCAAACAGCCAATTATCTGACCAACGTCAACCGTCGCTAGTGCCATTCCCCGTGTCGGACTCACGCAAGTGATCTGTCCCACGCTGCGTGCATTTCCCCACGACTAGCTCCTATACCGGTTGCTGTTGGTCGTGGGGCCCCACCTGCCATTGGCGCGTTCCTCGAGCCGCGCCACGCGGCTGCGCCCAGAGCACGAGCAGCGCGCCCACGGCGGCGCCGGCACGGCTCGCTCACCCATTCTCAGATTCTCTGGCGTTTGCCTCACGTATCTGCCTTGCGGCTGCGCGTCAGATTAGTAGGAGACGCAAACGCAACTACGCAAGCAACCACTCTCTACCAAGTACCAACCACTTGCGTAAACAATCGCCTACTGGTTAACGTTACAGTTCAGGGGACAGCGTCACGGAATCTAAACATGCTGCGCCGTGTATTAAAATGGGCAAGAAATGGTGCTACTTTTATTCTAAAATAAGCAAAATATGTTTGAAACAGATCGAGTTTTTTTGTGGAAGCAAGCAAATGCCAAATGGTCGTCCGGCCATCCACTTTTACCTTGGCATACGACGGAAATACGGTGATGTTTTGCTCTTTCTGATTATTAGCTTTCCAGTGGCGCACAAAAACTGACAGCGCACGAACAGCAAAAGCAAGCAAAAGGTCTGTATGGAGCTTGAAACAGAAGGGATTAGCGCATTAGCCTCAACGCAATAAATAATGCCCAAGAACAAGTGTCTCCCGTCGCAAAAGCCGTAGTTATCAGAAGAGACAATTCCCTGTGTGCCATTAAAAAAAATCGTAATGCCCTGTGTGTCCCTGAAAAAATTCAGCGGTCTTCAGCGCCACTGCTCCAACTTTTTCGTGCCCTCCATGCCACTTTTGTCAGTTTGGACTCTAACGCCGTCAAACTGCAGGTGTGAAAAGATGAAAATGTCCTTAATTGTAAATATGTCATTAATTTTTTTTGAGCATCTTAACGACTTCAAATAAAAAAAACTCAAAACTAGAAAGTTGTAGATCTCGTCGAGATCTATAATTTTCATATA